CCCGTGTCGTAGCTTTACGGCACGTAAAAGAACCTCATATCTCCAAAGGAGGTCACTGAGCCAAATTCAAGGACGTTTCCCGCCCAACAGTAGTCTCTAACGCCTCTGATAGATAGGGGAAGCATTGTAGATGCCGCCAAGCCATCGGAGGCCGAACTCGCTGGCTCGATCGGGACTGATGGTACGCACCAATATCGGTAGGGTATAGAGACTGGTAGAATATCATAGAGGGAAGCACAATGGACCAATACTGGTCTAAGTGCATGGGGAAACCCACCCTCTCCAATAACTAACAAACTAACTAACTAAGGCAACATGACAAGTGTAATTGGGAAATTATGAAACAGTCACACGTGACACTGGATTCTTCGTTACTGACAGCTGATTGACACAAAATTCGTGATTAGGCAGGCAGATGGCTTATCAGTGACAGGGAAGAAGGCAGGCAACCCGCAATACACCGTCAGCTGCTACTGCGGCCCGTGTATAAACAGAAATATTGCATTAAATTCTCGTCGTGGTTTCAGAACTGCGGAGGCTTTGTATAACTGCAGTAGGACCCGACTGGACCAGTCCAGCGGTCGGTGCGAGGGGGGGGGGGGTTCACAGAGTACACATCCGTGTCATACTGATGAGCCCTCATATTTCGTCCAGGATTTTCAAAAAAGAACATTGTTTTGAGGGAGGAGGATAGTGAGGGTAGTGAATTGAAGAGAACTGCGGATGTCAGACTCTGTGCCGCTTCCATTCGTAATGTTTAGTTGCACCAAATAACACTAACGCATCGTAATAATGATGGTGATATTGGCAGATACAGATTTCTTGATGTTGCACAGAAGTTACGTTTGTCACTTATTCCCTTTCTTCATTGACGCTATAGCCAGATTCGGGGCAGCACATTCTTTCGGACTCACACACAAACGACTATGCCGATCAGGCGATGGAGAAGGAGGTGAAGGAGGTGGAGAAGTAAAGAGAGTAAAGGAGAAGGAAAATGAGAAGAAAAGAATTATAAGAAAAGATTAAGAAGCTTAGGAGGAATTGGAAGAAAATAGATGAAAAGAAGCGGAATATGTAGAAGATGACGATAAAGAGACGTAGACGGAAACGAAAACTTGGGCCATCATGACGAAGATCGATGACAAAGTGAGAAAGGTAATGAAATGAATACGCTGGAAGATGGAGAAGAAAGCGGAATAGAAGGTGGCTGATAAGAAAAGAAGAAAATTATAAGAATATAACAAAACAAAGACAATACTTTTACATTACCTCCATAGGTTTATTGTTCAGAGAAGTATCAACCAGGAGCAATAAAAGCTGCATTAAAATAGACTTTACTAAGAAAAAAGTCAAGGAAGAAGTGAACACATGAAAAAAAAATAAATGAACATAAACAAAACCGGATAAACCATCCGAATAGAGTGACTGATGATGGAGTAAGGAAACATATGTATTACACGTGTACAGTAGAAACCACAAGGACACAGAGGCCAAGAAAGATCTTGAAGAAGGAATGAATATTCAAAATCGGAAGAGATGTCACTCTGTACGCTATTAAATTAAGAAGATGACGAAAAGAGGAAGAGGAGGAGGAGGAGAAAAGAAATTATCATTCTTAAATACTGACTTCTTCCTGATGACCTGGGTTCGAAATTGAGTTCAGAACATCCGGTAGAACTCACTGAGCAGAGGATCACAATATTACTTCCCTAGGACAATACAGAACAAAGTAAAGCGAGGACCAACTTCCACTCCCTAAGCGGAACTGAAACCGTTCATCCACAGCACCAGACGAGCTGCCGTTGGTCTTGTGAAATACATGAACCAACGGGCCCTTGAAGAAATGTAGCTTATCCTCTAAACTGAAAATCTGATTGCTCTGGCTGATCGATCGATTCTTCTTTCATCTGACGGTCCTTTTACAACTGCGCAGACTATATACAGTCAAATAGGAGAACTGCTTTGACTGATAAATTCAAAAGAACCGGCCGTGGCGTCTTTTAAGTATTCTTCAAGTACTAGCCTGAACGGACTGAGGAAAACAGCGAAAAACTTATTGTGTACTGCTACTGCGGTGCTTGCCATCTTAATTGTAATTCTTCCTTAAAATTATGATTTTTTTTCTCCTCGATGTCATTACACACAAACAAAACATACTTGCCCCAAATTGGTAGAGCTTAGGGTTATGAATGGTTAAATCTTCTACGTCTTAATAATATTCTTTTCATTAATAAAGTTGCAAATGTTTCACACCAGGCGTATATACAATATATTGAAGGAATATCTTCTATCAGTAAGAATTAGACGGAGCTGATCACTCACTTGTTTCTCTACATAGATTACCTTCGAGAAATCAGCTACCCCTCACCTACGGGATGGTTTTGTTACACGTCACTTTACAGAGCTAACTGCCTTAGTTGAAGGTAAATATAACAAAATATTTTTCGGAATCCAAGATTATTTTACAGTTGTCTAAAATATATAAAATAATTAATAAATGCGAATATTTTCAAAAGCTATTAAAGGTAAAGTTGTACCCTTGCTTAATTAATTAAACTCTATGCTATGAAGATGTATGGCGAGGGGAGGTATAACTCCAACATTCTTGACCTCGGCACTAGATGGTGGTGAGTGGTCAACTTTACGACCAGGCCACTTTACTCCCACTGGATAGGAGGCTGGGTGGGTCCCAGAGTTAGTCTGGAAGCTGTGGAGAAGAGAACAATTTCTTGCCCTAGCTGGAAACCGAATCCTGGTCGTCCAGTCGGTAGCCCGTCACTATACCGACTGACCCATAACGTATTTAAATTTAAAAATTAAGTGACACTAACTTCGTCGACAAGCGGTAGTCGCTCGGTCGGTATAGTAAGCTTGCGGACTAAAGACACGGAGTTTTGTTTAGTTTAATTGATTCTAGTGTTGTTACCACCTGTTCACAGAGTCATTTTGTTCTACTCTTTTTTTGGGCGTAAAGAGAAGTGAAGGTAGGATGACATAAGGCATAGCGTTCATGCAGAATTTCGTGAAGTAAGCATGAGATTATCCTACACAACATACAAACACAACTGAAACAGGCGTCCTAGGGACGGAAGGGTGGATGGGCTTGGCCAGAAATCTGTATAAATCGTACCAGAAGACGAAATAGGGTGCATCATGATCAGCTAGTGGCGCTATAAAGAGTTTATTTTGTTGTTAGGAATTGCAAATATGGCCTCAGTGCAGATCTCAGAAAATATATCTGTCAAAGTTTAACGTAAGTAATTGGACCAGATATTATTAGAACCCGTGCATGGATATGTTTCACTAAATACGGAGCATTAATTATTATCTACAAGTTTTGATAACTTCACCATACACATTAAAGCATCTGATGGAAAACAGGTATAATTCGTTCTTCCCAGAACTTATTTTTAATTTACTAGGTAACGTACTTTAAATAGAGTAATATTTACCATAATATCTGTAAAAAAAATAATACTTAAAGTACCGGCGGCTGGAATAGCACATATTCAAACAAATATCCATCCGTAATCATGACTTCACAAAATTTACTGCTGCCTTAAAATATCTAAATATAAGCTATCATCTATTCTTTTCACTAATTTCTTGTCGATGGCTTCATTACAGAGTCCACTAATTCTTTAGGGTATCCACTGAGCATCAGATCTTGCCTCAGTGAATATCCTAAAGAAGTCGTGGACTCTGTAATGAAGCCACTGGCAAGAAATCGTCCCTCTTCAGACAGAACATACCAAGAAACTGTAGTCATTGCGTATGTCAAGGGTTCCGCCGGGAAATTCAGACACATCGGGAACCGTTTTCAGCTTATACAATTTTCAAAACGAAACATACACTCCGGGGGACATTAATGAAAACTGGACCCGTTAGATATGCCCAGAAAACGAAGCAGTGTGTATATAGCATCCCTTGAGACTGCGGCAGATGCTACATCAGCGAAACTAGGACGGGGACAGATTCCAGAGTCCGAAACGTTGTTTTTTAAAAAAATAAACAGGACGGTTTAAAATAGACAAGACGATAGATAATGTCCAAAAACATAGTTTTTTTTCCTTGGCACTACAGCCCCAGTGGGCCTAGGCCTACCTCCACGAACTTCTCCGTTCACTTCGTTTTTTCAAAATCTTACTCATTCGTTGAGACTCCTTGGGCGGGTGATCAGCTCGTCGCAAGGCCTCTCCCTGTACACAAACACAGAAAAACGCACACACACAAACTAAACATCCATGCCCTGAGTGGGATTCGAACCCACGATCCCGGTTTCCAAGCGAGCGAAGACAGTACATGCCTTAAACCGCTCGGCTACCGTGACCGGCCCAAAAACATAATACTTGTAGCAATTTACCATCGTCACAAACTTTTAGATCTTATTCTCTTATCTAAAAACGTAAAAATTAGAATATACAAAACTATAATTTTGCCTGTGGCTTTGTATGGGTGTGAAACTTGGTCTCTGACATTAAGGGAGTTGAAGTGAAGGGAGGTCGGAGAAAACTGCATGATGAAGAGCATCACAACTTGTACTATTCGCCAGGTACGAGTATATTAGAATTATTAAGTCAAGGTGGATGAGATGAGCAGGGCATGTAGCTCAAATGGGGCGAAGAGGAAAGCATATGGTATATTGGTGGGAAGGTCAGAAGGAAAGAGACCCCTAGGTAGACCAAGACGTTGTGTGAATAATATTGAGATGGAACTTAGGGATAGAGGATGGGGTGGTGTGGGCTGGATTGATCTGGCTCAGGATAGGGACCAGTGGTGGGCTCTTGCGAACACGATAATGAGCCTTCGGGTTCCATATAATGCTGGGAAGTTTGTGAATAGATGAACAACAGGCGGCTTCGCAAGGAAAGCTCGTCTTCATGACGTTAAGTTACGTGTATTTGGCCCTCAGACTACTATTTGGACAGTCTTGGCGTTTGGTCAAATGACTAATGCAGCACAAATTAACAGACATCAGAGTAATGAAAACAGTAGCTTACCTTTCGCGTTCTACTTCAATGTCACCACAGCAGGCTTATGATATGTAAACGCCGTGTCAGCTTCTCCCTCACACACACGCACACACCAGGTTATAATCACTGCACACAACTACAGACATTTCAGGAACAGGAAATTATTGTCGTCACACAAGTCCATCGATATAGATAGATATAAATATAGATTTTCTGCACTTTCAGTACTTAATATCATGTAAAACACGTCCAGTTTCAATTACAATTGTTAACTGCACACGAAAACATAACCCTACCAAATGCAACGTGAGAATTGACGCGGTACAGTAACTGTTTTGTACAAATGAATGATGGGTAATCGAAGAAAGCAAGTGGCGTGAGGGGGAATACAGCTTAGTTTGTCATATTGCTGCACAGATAGGGCTACGTTATCACTGCTACTCCCTGTGCTAGAGAGAGAGAGGAATGAAGGCGCGTATCATTCGCTAGAAACATTCGTTTGGAGCTGAGCTCAGCTGTAGTTATGCTGTTCACTCTATCTAATCGTGCACTTGCACGCAGTACTTTGAGTATAACCGTTTGGTGCGCTTGGTTTTACAAGTACCCGTAAGATGCATGAGCTACCTTACAAAATGTATTACTAAAACTTACTGATTTCCAAATAAACATCAATAAATGTGCTCCAACGAAGGTTATTTCCAACTTCCGGCTGTCGATGACCACATAGCTAATGGCCGTAAACCTGAATCTGTCATTGTACTCAAATCAGTACCACGTTGTAAAGACCTGTAAAATATTATAGTAAATACGCTCTGATACTTTTATCTTCGGGAATAATTCCTTCAGTGCAACTGTTTAGGAAGGTAGGGCTGATAAGGATGTAGTGGCGAGAAGGAACATCTGTGCCCCTGTTCAGAATCGAACCCCGGTCGTCCAGCCCATAGCCAATAGTTAATATTGACGGAACTATCCTCGTTCGGTTTACGCATAAAGCCATACGGCAGACAGATGTCAGACATAAATGAAGATGAACATTTTATGTCGCAATAAGCGTTAATTCTATTGCTTTTGCGCAAAATATTAGACAGTGCAATAAATGCGACTACATATTCTTGTCGGGAATCGAACCCGTGTTGCGGCTACGAATCATGCTTTAATAGCGTGTTTGGAGCAAGGATATGAAGTTACACGCATTGCAGACATTGGTGTGTGGTTAGATGAGCTTCGGTCGTCTTACGTCGTCGCTACTGATTAGAAGAGAGAGAGACTGGACGTAATGACAAAGTGAAGCATTCTTATCCGCTCTGTGAATCGCATAAAAGTCTTCCACTTAGAAAGTAAATTTACCGACTGATGTCTCAGATATTTTATTAGGTTGTTGACGTCAGGGCTATAGTAAAATACGAGTAAAAATGCGAGTAATTTCTACTCACGTCAAACTAGTGCCGAGGTCACGAAAATATGGATCTAGACATCTACTTCCACATACACCTTCAAGGCGTAGTGCTTAATTAGTTAAGCACAGGGACAACTTTACCTATTTTACCTTTACGAGTAAAGTCTATGTGATGTTAATTATCGACACTATGTCACTGTTGGTAAGGTTCGCTTGCGGACTAAAGCCACTGAGATTAGTTTAGTTTATGTCGCTGTTACGGATCTGGTTATTTTGAAAGATAGGTTCGTTAAGTAACGGATTCAGCGGTTATCCCAACTGATACTTCATGCGATGCTCCTTAGGCCCCCAAGCTAATATCACTCGAGTAGAACTCTGAAGTAGGTCATGACGTAATTCACTAAAAATCCATTCCACTTCATAATATTTAACTTTCCTCTAATCTTATTCGGCCGATCACAGTGGCCGTGCGGTTTAAAGTAATATATNCCCCCCCCCCTTGAACGCTGTGATCGTGGTTTCCAATCCACTCAATTCATGGATGTTCGACTACGTTTATTCTTTGTTTGTGTTGCCCTTTTAAGGTAGTAGCCTTGCGACGGGCTGATCCCCCTTCAAAGGAGTCCTACTTAGGACTGTTTAAGATTAAGAAACTGAAGTGAAACGAAGCGTGTCACAGATGCCCTATGCTCCAAGTGGGAACAACAGGAACATAGATAGATAGATAGATAGATAGATAGATAGATAGATAGATATTCTCATTCAACGATAAATAATCTCGAAGTTTGTTGACCCTATGCATACTGTGCAAGTTGTATCTCGATTCGAAGGTATGAGCTTTCTTCTTCGATTTGTTTGTAGTTTGATAAGATTAGCCATAGAAACATGTACCATCACCTCTTACAGTAAATATTATGCCTTATCACATGAATATAAATAATAACCAGCAACAAAAGGGTTAGATTATCAGTGAAAGGTTCGCTGAATATGTACATAGCCTAGCGTTGTCGTTATTTCTTGTGTGTCTGTGTTGTGACTTAGCGATGCCTCTCTTCTATCTTGCACCATCAGAACCCAAAGTTCAGTCGTCCTTCAAGTCAGTCAAAGCTAACACTCTGCTCCTTAACAAAATCCTCCCTGCTACTTGCTTCCACTTTGCTTTAAAGAAGGAAGGAAGGATGATCCGGTAAGACAACATTACGAAACTGAAGTTCCCTTTAAGATTAAGGCTGGCAGTGAAGTCAGTCCATCAACAAACAACTCGACTCAACAACAAACCAAAGTTTAAAGGCTAATCTCCATTTACTGAAGTTTGCTAGTTGCCAGTCGCTAATTATAACAATGTTTTCCTAGCAGTGGCTCCTTCCCCACCGCAATCCCTCAATCTGCTGAAACACCTGCTAATGTGCCCCTAACATGCTATTTTTATTTCATGCGTCCCTTATTGATGAGCTGTACTGAGCTCACCGCTAATGAGTGTTACATAAACAGCTAAGTTCCCGGTTACTATCCTAAAGCTCTCCCTTATCTTGGGAGGAGCAGAGGCCAAGCGAATAAACACAGTTGCCTTTCAAGATTAGTACAAAAGCATAAATGGTATTATTAAGAAATTTTTACCTGGAAGGAATGTTGATAGACAAAAATAAGAATACGTAACATGAAGATTATTGTCTTCTGGAATATGATTAAGTACAATACTTTTTATTGTTTGTTAGGAAGGTATTATCTCCATATACCCTGAAGACAGAAGTAGCAAATTCCTCTGAAACGTTGATACGGATCTTTCAAATTACACATAGTTACATACCAGAAGGGCCGCTCCATAGCTCAAGCGGTTAGTCGCTGGCTTCCCACCACGGCAGCCCTGGTTCGATGCCGGGTCTGGTCAAGTGGGATTTGTGGTGGACAAAGTGGCACTGGGGCAGGTTTTCTCCCAGTACTTCGTTTTCCCCTGCCAATATTAATTCCACCAATTGCTCCACAATCACCCTCACCTATCATCTGTGGCTGGTACAATAGGCCAGAAGTGGCCGCAGTACAAGGGACTTAGTCCCACTCCACCAGCAATAAAGAAAAAATCCCAGAAGGGAACAATTTTTATGTGATCTTACATGTGAGATTTCGGTTTCTCACGGCGATAACTATGAATATTATTCTCCCCTGAGATGTGACACAGTGTAGTTGGCAGGTAATAAAGTTTCAGAGGATAGTGCTCTCCAAGTACACTGAAGATGGCAGCAGCAACTTCCTCTGAAACTGTCATATATTCCAAACTAAATGGACTTACATCGCAGAAGAGAGTAACCTTCATAATTATCACTGCGAGAACCTCAAGTCTCACATGAGACATCAGAGTTTAGCCTCTTTTAAATATCATTAATGAGGGTAGGTAAGTTTCCACACCTCTGGTGAAGACTAGTTGTTAAACAAAACTCAGACAGGGAAAAACTAAATGTTGCATATTGTATCAGCGAAACGGAAAACTGTCAATATAACTGGCTGCAACTCAGACGTCTGTACAGAAAAAAGATAAAGACAATACAAAGGAGTCCCCTAAATGCAAATCACTGCTGTTAGGAGATGCTTGGCGCAGAAAGAAAAGAGAAACGACATTCACTTAAGGATTTAGGTATACGCACTTAGGTATAACCTTCCTTACGCCATGATGATTGTTTAAAAATTGTGAACTTTAGAGATTTAGAGACTAATATTGTATTCTATCATCTTATTAGCTCTTCCTTTAAATGAACTTCATTATAATTTGAATTGTTACATTTATACTTTATGAGAAGTAGTGGGTCTGGAACGGGGTCCACTCAGACTCGTAAGGATAAATGAGGAGCTATTTCAAATAAAAAGCGGCTCCGGTTTAGGAAACCAAGATTAACGGCCGTGGGGATCCGTTGCGCTGACCACGCGACAACTTCTATCCGCTAAATTTGGCATTAACTTCGCCGACAAGCGGCGGTCGCTCCGTCGGTATAGTTCGCTTGCGGACTAGAAGTCACGGAGTTTGTTTTATTATAATTGGGTTAGTTTTGGTTAACTAAATACGTAAAATGAGCCGGTCACGGTAGTCGAGCGGTCTAAGGCATGTACTGTCTTCTCTCGCTTGGAAACCGGGATCGTTGGTTCGAATCCCACTCAGGGCATGGATATTAAGTTTGTGTGTGTGCGTTTTTCTGTGTTTGTGTACAGGTAGAGGCCTTGCGACGATCTGAGTCCTACCGAACGTGTAAGATCTAGAAAAACCGAAGTGAACGGAGAAGTTTATGGAGGTAGGCCTAGGCCCACTGGGGCTGTAGTGCCAAGAAAAAAAAAATGCGTAAAATGAACTCATATTTCAGCAAAATCTTCTTCGTGTATTCGCCAGCCGTTTCACCTTCGATGCACTTAAAATGTTGTGCTTTCAATCACTTGTTGTGGATCTATACTAAAAGTTACCGAATTAATTTAATTTAAATTCGTGTAAGCCAGAAGTGGACATCACTTCACAATAAAAGAATATATATATATATAGTGGTCTAAAACATATACTGTCTTCGCTCGCACTGAAATCGGGGTCGTAGATTCGAATCCCACACAAAACATTGATGTTTAATCTGTGTTTGCGTTGTCCTGTGTTTAGGTAGAGGTCTTGTGACGAGCTGATCGCTGGTCCAAGGAGTCCTACCGTCTGGAAAATGGTCATTAATTGAAAATCAGAGGCCAGGGCCCAAGGGGAGCTGTAAAACCAGTAAAATGAAAACTGGTACCATTTTGAAATGTAATACTTCGAATTATTCTTCTGTATCTGTTGCATTTTTCTTCCAGTTTTTAATTTTTAGTATTCAATTATTTACTTTCTTTTCAACCTGATAAATGTATTTTTTTGTGAAGTATGAAAACAGTTTTGCACCGAAATGAAGACAGAAAA